AAAAAATCTATAGCTAGCAAGTTTCTTGATGTTGCATAGTAATTCATATTTTAAATTAATGTTTTTCCACCCATTACTACATTCACAGAGGCACAGGGGGGCTGAACACCATTCTCATGGTGAGTGCCTCATGTGTCTGCGCCCTCTGCTCAGCTGACTCCCAGCTGTGGCTGTCCCTTCTCCCTCCGGACCTATGGCTGTGGCCTGTGTGAGCAGACACACAAGCTCTACACTGTGGAGCAGAAGCAGCTCTACAACGTTACACACATGGAAATGAAGGAACAGTTCAGACCCACTGGGAAGCCCACGCCATAGAGGAAAATGAGTAAACAGGCCTCCTGCGTGAGTCTGCTTGCTGAGTTCCTTTCTGTACTTTATAGCTTATGGGGTTTCAAAACCTTAAGAGGAGGCATTACCTGCTGAATTTTGTACAGCCATGGATGTCGACCTCAGAAAACAAAAACCAAAAAGATTGCCTCTGATGTGATCTGCTTTGGTCATGATCAAATCAGTTTTCTCTTTTCCTGAGCTGAGAAGAGACATCTGGTCTTAACCAAGAAGGTGGTCACACCTACCACATCTGTGTTGGTGATCTTGGCCAGCAGCTCGGTCAGGGCATCGCAAGTGAGCGAACTCACTTCCTCATCCTGCTGAAGCCCGCAGATGGCCGCGCCCACACTTCCAGTTGCGATCATCGATGGCGGGTACATGGCGAACTTAAAGTCTGCAAGGAGTGGGGCAGAAGGTCAGGGCAGAGAGAATTTGGATCCAGGAGACCCCGTCCCCTAGCCTGCAGACACTCAGAAACAGGATGGCAGAGGGTCAGCTGCACCAGTGGCCCTGCACCCTGTGGGCGTGTCCTCCCTGCAGTCCTTCCTTCACAAGAAGGCTTTTATTTATTTGTCAGCACTATGGCTGTTCCAGATTTAAAATGAGGAGACTGAGGCAAGGAAGGAAGAGAGGTTATCTGAGTGCACACAGTGAATCCACAGAGGGCTCCAACCCCTAAGTCTCACAATCCTAAGCAGGGTTAGCATGTGCAAGGTACCATTCCAGCCTCTGGCTGAAACAGCGGTGTGGGCCACATGTGCTTTGTGTGGAGGTGATGGTGAGAACAGGGCAGAGGCGGTCTGGGATCAGCATGCAAGGCACCACGTGTACTGGGCATGTGGAATAAGCCCAGGGCTCCAGGTGTTGGAAGGAGTAAAGGATACAAAGATGTGGGGGAATCAGGCAAAATTTTAGAAAGAAAGCTAATCCAGATGGGATCCTGTCATATTCTTTATATAAGCATCAAAGGAAATGAAGTGAGAGAAGCAGCAATACAGGGAGTGAGTGGAGACCATGTTTCACCCGATTGCAGCTTCTGGCCCAATGGCAAGATCCTCACAGAACATTAGGGCAGGAGCAGGGCTTGAATGGAGCACCAAAGGTCACCCACAGCATGCTAATCAGGTGCATGACTTGGTCTAGACTTTATGACTCACTGGCCTGAAGGCACCATTTTCTTGTTAGAAAAAAAATGGTTGCTACATAGAAGTGCAAAATAAAGATAAACTCGAGATGTCTAAACCTCCTCCACCTCCATTTATCTGTGAGCAAATACAGAGGACGGTCCAATGCACTAAGGAGCTCAGCCTGGAAACCAAACACCTCGTTTTCCTCTGAGCTCTCTCCTGAAGGGGCTGGGTGACCATGACCCAGTGACTGCTCAGTCCATCAAGAGAAGGTAAGGCCAGCCACACCTTCCACCTGTTACTGCTGCTACTGGCTACCAATGACCAACCTGGATAACGCCCTATAGGTTCTATACTGTTTAATTCACATTTCAGCTGTATAAGGTACCCCCAGGTATGACTCATGTTGTAAGAAACCTGACGCTTCTGAGAGTTTAAGTTGCCCTGCCTTGTGTTGCTTCATTAGAGAGGTGACAATTTAATCAATCATCCTAGTGACAGCTCTAGAGTGGAGCAACCCTTCCAGAGTGCACAACCTCCAGTCTTAGCATCACTGCAGTGGTTCACCATACAGAGAATTGGGAGGTGCACGCAGGTGCAGGTGGCAGCGTACACAGGGAAGCATGGCTTTCTCTTTACTTATGGCAGAAATATTAGATTGAGCGTACCAAAAAACAGAACCCCAAGCATTTCTCTTTCTTCCTACATGAGGCTCTATCACAGAAACATTTTCTACCGCAGCACGTCTAATGGTGAGCCTGTTGCCCCCCAGCATCAAGTCAGAGCGTTCAAGAAACACGGTGGGTCCCCGCCTTCCGATCCCGGCTGAATCCCATGAACACAGAGCCAACCCGGCCGTCAGCCTGTCTCCTTGGCTCTCTTTCCTTCGCCCCCTCACCAGTTCCACCTCTTGTGAGCCGTATGTTATGGTGCTCTGCCCCAGCCCCTCCTCCGCCTCCTCTGCCCCCTGGATGGTAACAAAGCCAGCCTCCCTGCCTCCTGCTCTGCTGTAGGTCTCTTCCACATGGGTCACAGGAGAGTGTTTCTCTGCCCAATAACCTCGTTAGCTCCCCCCTGTGACATTCATAACACAAAGAGGCAGCCAGCCCATGGCCCTGGGCCCATAAAGGCCCTGGGTGGGAGCATCTGGCAGGGAAGGGGCAGGAAAGTATCCCCAGCCCTCCTTTCCCTCTGCCACAGGCCACAGGCCGCAGACCGGGAAGCACCACTCACACCAGCCTATCTTTATGTTCCACTGCTTGCAAAACCAACTCTTGTTTTTAGCACAAGAATTAACTTCTGGAAGCCAATGGCCGTGTGTGGAACAGGCACGAGAGTTACATGAGGGGACTCTAACCTCCCTCTTTGTTTTATTTATTTGAGACAGAGTCTCACTCTGTCACACTTGATACAGTGCCATGGCATCCTAGCTCACAGCAACCCTCAAACTCCTGGGCTCAAGTGGTCCTCTTGCCTCAGCCTCCCAAGTAGCTGGGACTACAGGTGCCTAGCACAATGCCCAGCTATTTTTAGAAACGAGATCTTGCTCTGGCTCAGGCTGGTCTTGAACTCCTAAGCTCAGGAAATCCATCTACCTTGGTCTCCCAGAGTGCTGGAATTACAGGCAGAGCCAACCCTGGGTGTCTCTTTGTTTTACTAAGAAAATACTCAGGGGAGTCCTACTGGGGACACTGTCCTCTGGAACAGCGGAACGGGGGGAACACTGTGCATGAACTAGTCTGCCCCTCTGCTGTTCCGAGTGGCCATGAGCTCCCAGCACAGGACACTATAGCAGAAGACCATCATCTTCCTTTTGACCCCAGATATGGAGGCAACATCAGCCCACAAGCTGAGCTAGACTGTGGGACCATGGCCAAGTCACTTCCTCCCCCTCCAAACCCCTGCATTCCAATTTGTCTCTTAATAAGTGGTTGGCTAAGACCTGTGTTTTTCAAACTTCTAGTTACAACTCAATAATGGGTCATGAAAGTCATTTGTGGGTCGTGACCAGCAGTTGTGGTTGTTGTTCTTATTTAATGGAATCAAGTAGGGTAGAAAGTATCAGAAGGCACTGCAGGTAGTAAGAGCAGAGACTGTTCGGGGAAACTTGTATCACTTTGATGTATCAGTATCCTGAGTTGAACTTATTTCTTCCTTCATGGCTTAGGTCAAAGAGTTTATAGGGCAGGGTAACCTCCCAGGAGCCTTCTAGCTCTGCTTGGCTCTTACTTGAGGGTCTGAAACGGGAATAATTCCCAAGAGTTAGAGTAAGAGACAACAGAATGTAGCACAGCTTCTGCCAGCTGGCAAAGCCACAAAGCGTCCTTCTCCACAGAACAGGGCTATGTCTGCGTGGCACCGGGAGCTGCCCCAGGTCCTCTCTCCAGGACACCTACCTCTCCTCTAGTAGGAGAAACAGCAGAGAGAAAAACAAGAGAAAGGCTACATTTCATTTTTGTGCCAGCTTCATCCCTTCCACTAGCTCTCGTTAGCCCACCCCCCACCCGTATCCATGGACAACTCCACCCAGCCTGTGCAGCCATTCCTGGACATCTCCAGTGTTAGATACCCAACAGGATGGGGGAATCATTCACAATATACCCTTGGGAGAAGGCAGCAGAAAACTGACCACATACATGCTTGCTACGAGGACGATTCCAGCTGTCCGTAAACATATAACTACATGGACATACATAAATACAGCTGAACTGAAAGGATACAGAGGAAATGATAACTGTCCTATTAGGGGGGAGAAACACAATCTTGTAAAATTTTCTTTTCATGGTATAATTAAACAGCAGGTAAAAATCTCTCAGATATCTCTTAAGCCTCTTGGTCAAAACTGCTGACAAGCTATTGTGTTAATACAGAAGACACAGGGTGATGAGCTGTCCTCTTCACCCACACGGAAAGGTGAGATATTCATGACTTCCTGAGGTCTTTCCTTCTCTTGCTGCTGAGTGAGAAGCAACGAACTGATCAGTGATCGGTTCTGACTGAGTCATCACAGGGTGTTCCTGCCTGTTCCCAGCAGCACAGATAGGTCCCCCCTAAAGTACAACACTGTTCCTGTTTTAAAGAAGACACCCAGTCTTGTTAAGGCTGGGGCATCAATTCAGTGACACGACACACCACACTGTGCTGTCAATGGTTAGGTGTGTACTACATGGTAACTTCCAAAAGAACTTCTCAAAGAGGGGAGGAACTCTGGCAGAGAGGAGCGCAGAGACACTTCTTAGGACAACTCTCCATTTGGATGGTAGAGACAAACATCTTTGACTTGGACAGTAGAGTGCATGGAGGTTGGATGGCCTCCACTTGGTGACCAATTCCCACCAGACCCAGGAGGGTCTCACCCCAGGTCTCACATCTGGGGGTCTAAGCAAAGCAGGAGTAGCCACATATCCTGCCATGAGGGACAGAAGCCATCCAAAGGCCTTGGCCTCTGGCTTACTCCAACCAAATAAGACATGTGAAGCAATGTAGTTTATTGGTTCAGAGTATTTGCCCTGGAGACAGCCTGGGATTAAATCACTGTCCCACCACTTATCAACTGTGGGAAGATGAGCAAGTTAGATGACCCCGCTTGAGTCTCCACATCCTCACCCGTGAATGAGGAGAGTAACTATATCCACCTCATGTTCAGTGTTCAGTATCTTCAGTGTGGTTCTGAACATGAACTAAAACAACTCATGTGAGATCACAGTGCCTGCTCTAGGTAAGCAATAAATGTCACCATCATCCTCACTGGTTCTCACTCCTGGGACTTCCTCTGGGCCTGTGGTGGGCAGTTCTGACTGCTGGAGATGGTACCTAGTGCCCAGGGCAGTGAGGAGACCGGCACCCAGCATCCTGGGACTGCAGGCAGATACACATGCTGAGGCCAGGAAGAAATGAGGGCTCCATACTTCCTGGAGATTCTTTCACTAGTGAGTCGGGTATGGGTCCCAGCAATGACTTCACTGAGCTCCCCAAGGCCTCCTGTTGCTTTGTCAGGAGGGGGACAAAGAGAGCTCCATAGAGGAATGGAAAAAACCACATGAACACATAGTGAACGTAAAACAGAGTTGGTAGTTACATTCCCAGCTCACCCACGTTCACTTGAATGTGGTTCACCCAGAGCCAAGAAACAATGCCCACATACTAGGAGCATCCCACATTTCCCTCAGCCCTCCTAATGAGGCGGTGGAGGCAAGGGACACACCCCAGGGGAATCCCAGCTCTCTTGATAAGCAGAGATTGCAGGTCTGGTGTGGTGTACGTGCTTGTTCATGTTTGTGGTGGTGATGATGAGGTATTAATAAACAGAACTTAAAAGCCATCTGTTTGAATGGTCTCCTTTTACAGGCAAGTCCATGAAATCTGAGAGATTATGTGATCTGTCTAATGTCACTCACTGTGAGTGTTAGGCTTGGGGTAAGATGGAGACTTTCAGACTCTGGGTCCAGAGCTCTTTATAACTTACCAAAACTCAAAAGGCTCTTTCAGGTCACCTTCCACATACTACCAAAGAATACAGGGTAGGCTTTCATCTCTGCGAGGGGGAGAAAGGCACTTCAGGAGCCAAAGTCCCAGCCAAGGTAGCAACAAGCTGATCTTACACAGGAGCTTATCCTTCCAAGGAAGCCACAGGAGCCCCTAGGGATCCCACTGGCCTCCCTAATCTGGGAAAGGCAGGGAGAAGTGCTCTGTATTCATCAAATTGGTGTCAGCATTTCTTGGTGCCCAGTTTAGTTCAGCATTGAACATTTCCATGTTAAGTAAACGAGTGACTGCTGTGCTTTTATCCACCACTAGGGGGAGAGAGATACTCCCTCTAAGCAACCTGCAGCCAGGTGGAAGTTAAAAGGGCCAGGACCCAGGGTGTTTACTGGCCAGAGAATGACTCATGCACCTCATCTGCCCTAGAATAGGGTCAGCACACCCTGTCCTGGTGGAGGCAGGACTGCCACGACCAACGCAGTTCCACAGGCCTGGGTGGGAGGATAACAGGCAGCCTGCTACTTACGTACCTTACAGCCAGCTGGGAAGTGAGACGGTGAGCACCACACTGCCTGTCCCCATGGGGCTGGCAGTTCAGCATGCCACTTCCCCTCTGCCCATGACTTCCTGATGACGGAGGCAATGCAGAGGCTCACAGATGGAAAGTTGGTTTTCATTTCTCCCTTCCCCGCACCCACCAAGTTACATCTCCCATTCTGGATCAAGGACCAGGTCACCTAACTTCTCTGGACCACCAATATCCCCCTAGAACTTTGGGGATAGAAACTAGGGAAAGAGCTACCAATAGAGCCAGGACACCTGGAAAGCATGGGGGTTACTCGAACCAGGGTTTGGGTCTCAGTCTGGGGAGCCCTGGAGGGGGCTACCCCTGTGTGATACAGAGGGACAGCACCCTGGTGGGCTCCCAGTGCAGAGAGAGGGAGATACGGTGCCTGAGGAGGGACAGTAAGCTCCTTCCCCAGCCCCACGCCAAATTCACATTCACCACCATTGCTTCTCTGGACTAACTGAATCATATGTTAAACATGATTATCACATGTCCAGAATTTCCAGAGTGGGATCCCAAGTCATCTCACTAATCTTTCCTCATTTGCAGACCTGGGGGCTCTAACAGCAGAGCTGTAGCCAGGGCCACTAAGTCTCGTTTCTGGGGCCCCAGTATCAATGCTCCCAGACAGGGAAGACCAGGAGGGGCAGCTCTGAAGATCCCCCACCTTCTCCCCAGTACCAGGCAGCTTGAGGCTGTCTCTCCCCCCAAGAAGCCAAGATCAAGGAAGGGAAGGAGGACACTGGTTTGCTCTGCCATCCTCTTCCCCCAGAGTGCTGCAGCGCCACTCCACTACCCTTCCCACGGCCCCTCTGTGCACTCTCTCCTCCCCTTTCACACACACACATGCTCTCCACATACTCTGCAGAATGACTGCCAGCTCTTTCATAACCAGCTTTTCCCGTCAACCAGCCACCCATTTAGAGGGCTGGCTACCATCTCCTCTGGACACCCCCTCCCCCTCACCCTGCCAGAGGCCTCTGAGACCCTGGCAGCAGGTGCTTCCTCAGCTCCTGGGCAGAACATCCAGGATAGTGGAAAGTAGGTGTGAAATGTAAGAAGCAGGTGAGGGGCAGAGCTCAGATGGAAGATCTCCGTATCTCCCACCTCCAGTCCTCAGTTACCCAGTGCCTGCTACTTGCCAGAAACAGTCCTAGGCACTTCTCCACTCATCCAACTCTGGCTCCACAACACGGAATCTCATCTCCCTGGAAGCCCTTGGTGTTCCTACTGCCAGGCCAACTGCTGAAACCTCCATGCAAGAGGAATTCTGTGTGGCTCAGTCACTTGCACAAACCCAAGTGCCAATCAGAGAAAAAGAAATGCTTTTTGAGGTAGATTCAGCCCTACCAGACCCAGGAAGCTTCTGAGACCCTCCCTCTGCTCTGAGTAGCCCCTGCCTGAGGCTCAGTGCTCGGCACACGGTTTTCATGTGGTTGGAGGTGTTCGCTCTCCTGTCCTTCCCCACCCCTGACTAAAGGTAGCCCAAGGCCCCTGAAAGGCAATCTTCATGACAGCCCCTGTCTCCCTTCAGACCTCTGTCTTCAGTCTCTGAATCCCAGGCTCCCTATTCTGGCCCCAAAGTTGGCGGTCAGCCCAAAGATCTGGGCTAGAAGGCCATGGCTGGGGGATGGGATCCCCAATTTTAGAGAATAGGCCTAGACAGAATCTGGGGATCTGCCCACACTTGGGTAATTCCATTGAGCACCCTGACCCCAGATCAGAGAGGCGGAAGGGGGTTGGACAGACCCTGAAAGATCTGTTGGTCAAGAGACAACGTCAAAGCAGAGCTCTGGCTATCAACAGCTGGGCAATGAGGTAGTTCAGGGTCAGGGTCAGCTATCCTGGGGCCAGAGAAAAAGGACTGGCTGAGCCCTCCCCCACCGTGAATCATGACAAGAAAGGAAAGGGAAAGCTGAGCCTGGGAGACAAAATGACAGGTCAGTGGGGGACTGACCTCTCAGGCCCAGGCCAGACAGCAGGAGAAGGGAAGGAAGCCAAAGAATGATTACTGTCCAAAAGGCAGCAAGGGTCCCGGCAGCTCTCAAGACCCACCCCAGAGGAGCTTAGGAAGGGCAACTGACTCCCATACAGGCGTGCAGGGCACATGTGCATGATGAGGCCCCATCTGGGTCCAGAGGGCAGGACTAAAGAAAACCAGCAAGGGGAAGCCTGTCCTCTGGATGCCCACACTCAAGCCAGCAAGTGCACAGTACAGGAGTTCTGCTAGAAGCAGATGAGGGCAGGCAGAAAAGCAAAGCACACATCTACCTTGCCTGAACAGTTAAAATCAGAGTTAAAATCAGAGATGGCCGTTTTCACACTGGCATGTCTGACCCACACATCTCCTGGTTCACAAAGCACTCCCACGTGCATCACCTCTGATTTTAATTTTCCCAGCCACTCTAAAAAGGCTGTAGGATGATGATGTATCAAAAGGTTTGTTTTGCAGATGGAGAAGCTGGGGTTCAGAGAGGTTAAGCAGCCTGTTGGAGGTCACCTGGTCGTAAGTAGCAAAGCCTGACCTTCTGACTGTAAACAAAGAACATATACACTCTACTGCACATTATACAATCATTTGTATCCAGTAACATGTAACAAGGTCTTGAAAAAAGTTACCCCCCCAGTCCCACCTATACAATTTAGTTACTTTTGGCAAACTTGAGGTGAACCTCTCAACAGGCCTGCCCAGATGAGCAGTTCTCTAATGTTTCTGATCACGAAAACATGAACTCCTGACACCTCTCTCCTGGGTGATTCCAGGGTCTCTGCCATCGCCTTGACCCAGAGTGAAAACAGACCAGAGTAAGACAACAGCAGATTGCTGCCTCTAGTTTATTAGAAAAATACGGAGCAAATGGGCAAGTAAGGACTATGTATCAACTGTGGGAGCCGCACAGTGGGCGGGAAACTGCGAACATGGAAAAAGCCAGTATAATTGCTATGTCAAAGGCTGCGGCCAAAATCAGAACACGGCCACATGAGGTGAGTGTATCAGAGCCCAGCTGAGCAAGTGAGCCCTTACTAAGGGCCAACAGGTCCACTCCCCCGTCCAGCAGAAGAACAACTAGAAGATAATAATGGCCCTACAGTAAAAAAAATTCCTTTGGTCTCCCTTACCACTTATCAGGGCAGGCAACGTATTTATCTTGACATTGTTCCTTTACCTATATTTGCCCCCCACCCCCAAATTTCCTCTTAGGCTTATCTCCAAATCATCCTTTTCCTCAAAAGATTAAAGATTTAAATGCAACCAGTGAGCAGTATATGTAATCTTCAAAGAGCACTTTAGACATCATAAAGAATATTTTAACAGGCACTAATTTTTTTTTTCCCCTTACCACACCTGTCCTCATAAACCATTTATGAGTTTAGCAGTGAAAGAGATTATAGCAGCTCAGATAAAGTTAAAGCAAAAGCGACCCAGGAATGAAACTTCGGACTCTAGACTACCGGAGCCCACCCCTCCCCCAAACCCTCAGACTAACATGAGCATTCCTACCACCTTTTGCATCCCCCTGGACAGCTCTCAAAGAGCTCCTCAGCCTCCCCTTCCCCTCCCCGCAGCTCCAGCCCAGCCTCACCAGTGGCGCACAGAGCGATGAAGGTCTGCGCGTGCTTGCGGATCAGAGACAGCTTCTCCCTCTGCTGCGGCAACTTGCGAAGGATGTGCTCAATGAAGTCATGAGGAGTGACAGCAGCCAGGTTCCACTTCAACTTCCCCAGGACTACCAGCTCCCACTCCTGGCAAGGAAGGGAAGCAGGGAAAGGAAGAGTATAAAATCCACAGGCTGACCTGGTATCTGGGCTGGGGGTTGGGATCCAGACCCATTTTAATGACGCTCATTAGGACGTGGCTGCTAGATTGTAAGGCGGGCCCATTTGTCAACGTGCCCATAAAGCTTTGAAGTTGTTGACGGCTCTGCTTAGGCTTCAAATGTTAGGCTCCGCTGAAAATAATGAGAACCCAGGTAGCTGTTGCCAAGATTCTATTTTCTTCTATTTCTTTCCCCTCCTGCTCCCCCAAGCCTGCCCCTCCACCCCCAACTTCCAGGCAATATTGCTGCCTGCCCACCCAGAAAGTGGAACCTACAATAAGATATGGCCAAGGTCATTGTGGCCCTTTGGTAGTAATTTATTGTATATGTCTCCATCACTAGATTAATAGTCTTTTTAATCCTCATGGAAAAATGATGCATGCAAATAAAGCTCAAAATAGGGTTCCTTGGCCCAACTCCTTGGCAACCAATTAGCTTGCTTATACATGGTGCCAAAAGTGCCATTTTTCTCTTTGCTGTTAAAACTTTCCCCTTTGACACATCATGCAGAAATCTTTAGGATGTGACACTCAGCCCTTTCACCTAAATGTTTCACAGGCCTTTGTCATCATGACTAAAGGGCTGGATGGCCATTAGCAACCCCATTTTGCAGACGGAGGTGATTGGGTACAAGGTAAAGGTGTTTGTTCAGGGTCACAGAATCCCTTAGTCCAAGTGCCAGAAGGAAACAACTTTGTCTCTTTGGGGACCCTGATGAAAAATCTTGTTTCTCTCCTTTACTGAGACATTTATGAGAAATAGCATTTAAAAGGAAATGGCTTGAGAGTAAAAATTTTAAAATATTTATGTGCCATCAGGGAGAGAATATGCCCATCAATAAGTCATCTTCAGAAGAATGAGACCCAGGGACCAGTTCACCGGTGTACCCAACTTTTCCATTCACCCTAAGAACCTGGGAACGCTTCCCTTTGCTAAGGCAAAGGCCAGGTGCTCAGCTAGCAATCAGCCCTCGAGCCCCCAAGCTGCAGTGCTAACTAGGTGTGTGGCCCTTCCCCTCCCAGGCTTTCTCATTTGTATGGTAGGACTCCTCCAGATCCCAACTTCTGGGATAAAAAGACAGGGAGTGGAAAAAAAGCCAAGTTTGTTTGGAGCAATATAAATGAGCTTGGCTAGTCCTGGAAAAATTGGGGTGTCCTGAAGAACCCCTCAGTCCACCATCATGTTAAAATGAATTAACCAAATGAAGATCAGTGAGAAAAACAAATTGGTCCCCAATTCTAACATTTTTTTTCTTTGTAAGCTTTGAAATCTGCCTTGGATTTTTATGGGAGAGCTGGGGTAAAAAGCCCTAAGAGACTCTTGAACAGCCAGCATCTTCAAAGATGCCTTGAAATCTCAGCCCTTCCTTCTCAAAGGGGATTGTGAGTCCAAACCACTCGTCTTGCCCCATTATTAAAGGAAGCAGATCTCCCAGAAGAAAGCACCTTTCTGGGCCTCTCGGACCAAACCAGAAGCAGCTGAAATCTGGCAGTGGTTCAAAGGTGAAGTCATTCAGGCCCCTCTCTACATTCTCCTCAATTCCTCCCCCAACCTTGCGCATGTCTGCCACTAGATGGCAGCACAGCCCCAGAAAGGAAGGCTCCTCACAAAGAGCTCAGTTCAAGAAGCCAGTCTCAGCCCTGTGGACTTTATGCAGGCCCTGCCAGTAAGCGGTGGGAGGGGGCGGGAAGAAGGGGGCCCCTTTTATAAACAGTGCAGAGAAAGGTGTGCCAACCACTGAAGGTGGGCCTCGAAGCGGCTCTTCCATCCAGCACTGCTTCGATATGGCGGTCTTCTGGTGAAGCTTCAGGGGAAAGGAATTAGGCTGGATGGGAAAAAGTTCTCTGGCAGAAAATCAGAGTTAAGACAGGACCCCTGGGGTTGTACAGAGGTCGTACGCCCATTGGAATTAAGAACTCAGGCCTCAGACTCCTTCAATAAGAGGCCAAAGTTTGACTTTGCTCAAAAGTCAATGAGCTGTTGTTTAGTGAACAGCTACTATGTGTTGGTATCTGCAGACTTGACTGCTTTTTGGACCCCAGGTACTTGGGAGACACACCATCACACATTCCTATCATGTGAACACATTCCCAGGGTGGAAGAAGTCAAACTATTTTCTCAGAGATTGGTGTTGGAGAATGGAATTTAATTAAAATATTATCACTGTTAATTAAAATATGCCATGCTTCCCCTATACACCGCAGGGTACACACAACTGCAAATGAATCCATGAGGATCTTACACAGGGATATCTCTATGTGCTTAGCACGGTGCCTGGCGCATAGTAGGAACACAAAAAGTAAGTTATCTCCTCTTCAAAGACCTATCTCCTCTAAGTGGGAAAATTCTGGTGGCAAGGCTAATGGTGGATCCTAAGGATTTTTATTTTGGAGTGATGGGTGGAAGGGATATTGTTGGCCAAGAGAAAGAGGGAAGGGCAGACAGGAAAGGAGCGATGGGGCAGTCATTACCAGCAGCTCCTGAGGCTTGATGGAGTTGTCGGTGTAAATACACAACTTTTCAGCAGTCAGCGGGATGGTCTCTTTGAGCTTGGAGGCCAGAAACATACAGACAGCACCCAGGAGCTGCAGATGAGACTTAGGAGTCGGCACCCCGGCCAAAAAGCGGTCCAGGTAATTCATGGCCAGAGGGAAGACCTCCTCTTCACACTTCTGTTCCTCACAGACCTACAGTGGAAGAGAGAAAGGGTTGGGGGGTGGATGGAGAGAAAATAGTATCAGAAAAAGAGAAAAGGGGAAAAAAGCAAGGTCTACGGAAACAAAATAATTTTTGTGGGGAGGGGCAGGGTGTGAAACAAGTGGTAAGAATAAAGATGAGGAAGCTGGGGTAAATCGGAATAGTCCATCTGTGCTTGGGTATTTCCCCGGAGCCTAAAACAGGGGGTGAACTAAAGACCCCACACGGGGAGTCAGAGAAATGAGCAGTAGCCGGCGCAGCTCCACGACGCTCCCTTTGGCCGCTCGCTCCTTCGCGCACTCTAACTCAGTCTTTTTTGGATTTCGTCATCTTTTCAAAAAATCAATAGAAATATTCTGGAGGCTCCGGGGGTCTACTTCTTGGTCCCATTCGGAACCCCAGATCCTGCTCTATCATTCCCGACAATTGAAAAAAATGTCTGGGGGCTCCCGGGCGGCCCAGGGGCCGCTATTGGGGGGGCGGGTAGGGAGAGGTGGGGAAGAGCGGGGGAGGGAGGAGAGGAGGAAGAGAGCCGCAGCCTCGGCAGCTGGAGCCGGAGCAGGGGGGGAAGCTTTCAAAAAATAATTAAAAATCGAGGAAATACCCTAGAAAAGCCCTTTTGGCGTGAAAACCCCAAAGAGGACCTAAGCTTCCCGCAATGGAGGTTTTGGGTGCCAGAAAGGTCTGTATCTCGACCCCAGGGGCTTAGGATCCCTCGGGGGAAACTTGAAGGGGTGAGAGCCACTGCTGAGTGTCCGGCTGCGGCCCACAAGGGCAGAAACTAGGGAACGTGTGACGAGCTGGGGGCGAGAAGGGAGCAGGGAGCCCCGGAAAGAGGCGCTGAGGGCTCGACCTCTCCTTTCGGGGTGTCCTGATGTCCCCCTACACACCCCCTCCCCCCTTCCTACCCCACCCAAATCTCCGCACTGAAGAAGCTGGAAAGCCAAACTGTAAGTAACCTTCGTGAGGTGGGGGCTGGGGGAGAGGGCACGACGAGAAGTGGGGTGGCCGGGATAACGGGGTGCGAGGGCGAGAGGGCGACGTTTCCCAGCCTTTCCAAGCGGAGTTTGCAAAGCAACATGGCGAAACCACGGCAGGTCCAGAGCTGTGCATACGTGGGCACACAGCTCGCTCGGCAAAGCCTTGCAGCGAGAGTAAAGAAGCGGTTCTTTTGGGTTCCCCTAAAACACACGTTTCTTCATTGTGACTTCCGGGGCTACAGAATTCCTGGTTTCTCTCCTTCCTCCTCCTCCTCCCCCCCTCCTCCCGAAGTGCCAACGCGACCACATGCGAGGACCCGAGGCTAGGACGAATTTGTTTAGGCCTTCGGGGGGCTAGATTTCTGCAGGGGGTCCCAATTTCATCTCCCACTCCCTCCTTCGCCGCACTGAAAGCAGCCGCGGCTTCGCGAAAGACAGGTCGGGATGGGGGTGGGAAGAAGAGGAAGCCACAGGAGTCCACACGCGCGCGGGATGCTCCCCCCCCCCAAGACAGCCTCTTTTCTCCCAGATTTTCCTCTCCCTCTCTCCTCCCCAATTAATCCCCCAAGGACCAGAAATGAAGCCACGCGCCTCGCCAAAGGGCGCCGGGTAACCTAGCGCACCGTAGCCCGGAGGCCGGCTCTGGGTTGTCCTCTCCCAATCTTAGGGTCCTGCGTGGGGGGCCGAGGATCCGGGTGGGGCGGTAGCTCCTAGTGAGCGTCGCCGGCAGACCTACCTCCAGCATCCAGGTGGCCACCATCCTGCGCATGTAAGGCTGAATGTCCTTCTGCACGCACTTGAAGTAGGAGCACTGGGGAAGGTAGCGCTCCTCGATGGTGAGCAAATTCTGCAGGACACGGTCGTCTTGGAGCAGGTTTTGGTCTCGCACAGCCCTGCGGACCGGGTCCACCTCGCAACACAGAAGCTCCATGGCTAGCTGGGTGACCACTCGGCCCCCTGCTTTCTCCGGACTTAAAAAGTTATTATTATTATTTTTTTTTTTGGAGGGGGAAGGGAAAGAATTCCCTTGCCTCCTTCCTTTGGCTAAATAAGGGGTTTTCGGGGAATAGGTGCGGGCAGGAAGAGAAGCCGTAGGAGAAGAGAGGAAAGGGTGGGCGGTGGGCAAGCAGAGCCTCGGGGGCTGCCTAACTCACACCAGTCCTCCCCTTCAAACTCGTCTCCCTCTCGACTGCTCGCTCTTCTCTGCTCTGAGGCAGTGACGCAAGCTGGCTGGGCAGTTAGCTCTCCTCCCTCTCGTCGCGCTCCCCTCTCTGGTTCCTCCTCCCCTTCCCTCCCCTCCTGGCCCTCCCCTCCTCCTTTCAATCTCTCCCTCCCTCCTTTTCCCTCTTGTTATTAAGGAGAGCAGCAGCTGGCCCGACCTAACTTCAAACGCGGCCCCCGCCCCCCCACCCCTCTCCTTCCATCCAGCGCTATATGCCAGGGGCCCGGGATAGGGGAACCCTCAAAACCCCACCGATTTATACCCTCTAATTTCGCACATTCTGGAGGTGCATCATGCCAAAATGCGACCCTCCAACTTTGGCTCCTTCAAAACCTCCTCCTGCCCAAGTACCCAAGATCCTGGAATGGAGGGTAGATAACTTGAAGATGGAGTGAGCGCAGACAATTTAGAAACAGATCCCTTAAGTGTGAAGTAAAGGGGATGATTTAAGAAAAGAGCGACCTCGCATACCCAGAGATAAAGGTTATGTCCCTGAAGTTTATGTTCCCGATAACTTCGAAGCTGTTTAAAAGCCCGATTAAAGGGATCAGACCAACTTTTTGCCCAGCTGCAGATGTGTGTGGAGAGGAAGAAGAGGAACGGGTGGGTGTGAGGAGGGAGGACGACTGTTCTCTGGCTGGATAGTATGTGACCCTCGAGCAGAAACTAACGTGTTCCTGGGGGTGCTTCGAGCGCCCACGGCTACCGCAGGCCCAGGGCAGGGTTGGTAGCGGTTCTTCCGCGGCCGGCGGCCACGCAGGAAAAACCCGCTTCCTTGCCCATGCATCTGCTGACAAGCCGCCCGAGGTGTCTGCACAGACCGTGGCCACACTGATAGAGCTTTCTAGGAAATGGTTCGGGAGGGGGAGGGGGCGAGGGAAGGTTTAGGTTTGGCTCCCCCACGCTCCCCCTGCGCAGCCACCACCACCCCTTCCTTTCCCCGGAGGCCTAGGCGCCCACCCTCTGTCGGTCTCCGCATCCTTGCCGACCCCTCCGGGTTCGCACTTCACTCGCCCACTAGGGCTTTCTCCCCAGCAGCCGGACTGCGGTGGAGACGCTGCCAGCGCAGTCGGCCCTGACATGTGCTCTCACGCATCCTCGAGTCAAGGCTGTCTTAACAGGGGATATGATGGCGTTTCCTCACCTCCTTCCTCCCGCCACCCCTCACCCTGCCTCTCAGCGCATTTCTGTAGGGTAGGAAGGGAACAG